GGCAAGGGCTGCTAGTTTAAAACCATCAATTATCTCTCAACTAAAAGTTGACTTACCAACGTGTCCCGTCTTGTACTTGCTTATAAAAACTCATGAGTTAGTATCCAGCGATGATCTGGCGTCTACCGATCCATCACTGTTTAAGGTTATACTTATCTGCGTAGACGGGCCAACGGATAGGATAAACATGGTTTTTAACCCTAATATTTAACCAGTTGTTGAAACACATTCCAACCCATCTTACGAATACCCAGATGTTTCTGGATCGCCTACGTACGTACGATACGTCTACTGCATAGCCCAGCAGCGCGTGCGTGATGGAGTTCTTCGACGTTACTGCCTTTTATACAAACGTGCCGAATAACTCCGCAATGCAAACCATGTTCGAACTCCTTTACAACACGAAGGAGAAATAAACATGTATGGCTTTAAGATAGAGTACTTGATGGCACTCTTAAAAGAATGCTTGAGCTGCTCAATCTTCAGATGGTCCGGAAAGTACTACGCTCAACTAAGAGTTGGCAATGGGACAACGACTGGCTCCAAGCCTTGCCATTGCATTTATGTCTAAGGTGGAAGCACCGGTGACTGATCTCGGACAGCTACTCTACCGTAGATATGTAGGCGACTGCTTTGTCCTTTGCTCAACACAAGAGGAAATGGACAAATGTTTCGAGTTGTTAAATGCACAGTCAGAGTATATCAAGTTCACCCGAGAAAAGTCGAAAGAAAAATGGCTTCCATTCCTGAACGTCCAAATTCACCTGTTAGAAAATGGCTACATTAAAAAGTGATACCGAAAGCCAAGTAGTAAAAACATCCTGGTTCGTTACCTCTCCTCTCATCCCTCTCACACGAAAAGGGCGCTTGTAAGAAACATGCTTCGAACAGCAACCAACGTGTGCACGGGAAGAATGCAGAGAGAGGAGTCCCGGAACTAGGCGCGGCAAATAGCCATTTCTAATGGCTACGAAACTGTAGCTCGGAATAGGTGTAGGAGAAATCCTAGGTCCGCAAACGACAACTCTAACGATAGAAAGGTCCCGTTTATCCTACCCTTAATTTCAAATGATGTAAGTGCACCTACGAAACGCTGCTTGAGAAGGGCGGGTTTAGAAAGTTCGGTAAACGTAGTTGAAATACACGCGAGTAATCTTAAGCGCCAGCTAGTTCGTAACTATATGACCGTCTAAGTCCAACGCAGAATTGCATAATTTGTCCCAATGGTAGAGACGGTGATTGCGTGAGCTCGCGTATAGTTTATCTGATCTCCTGTAAGGCGTGCGGAGACGAATACATTGGCGAAACGGGTAGACCCCTCTGTGTCCGCATAAAAGAACACCTAGCCGGCAAACGTCTACCAAATAATCCACTACTATGCACGCATAGGACCCAGAGACATAACGGGAGGACTTTGAAGTATGTGTCACGATCCTCGCATAAGAACCTAGAACACGAGCGCGCAAAACTCTCGTGACGTTCTGGATTAATTCCAGAAATCGAAATTTTTTTCAAAATTCGAAAATGAACCGCAGGGAAGAATGCCTCATCATCACGCGTGATGTTGGGCAATATATAAACCTGTTATTCTGATGAGAGGGCACATTATGCTTCCATGTGAATTCTGTGTGGTTGGTTTTCATGCGACATACTCAGTGGAAACCTAATTGAAAGCTGTGAGTGTGGAAAGCTGTGCTCAATGTGATTGAAATCTTAGTTTAGAGTTTTTTTGTTTGGTTATGGAGGTGTCTGGCCGAATAGATTGCTGTCCACTTGACCTTTCCAGGCTCTGAGGAAGGCGAAATCCACCGAAACATCAGCTTATTCGTGAATAAAAAATAAAGATAACACCACGCGTTTGCTTACAAGAATACAGGGAAAACAGTGTGTTTAAAAAAACTGTTCACTGTGCGATTAGTCACTTATGTATTGTTTTGTCCGCCAAGGTTGTTGCTAGCGTGTGCCAATTTAGCTTTTCCAGGCCCTGAAAAATGCGCAACCGCTGAAACGTCAGCTACTGTGTATTAATAAATACTATAAAAACAGCGTTCGTGTTTGCTCGTCAACAAAAACAGTGAAAAAATTTGTTCCAGACATCTTCTGTGACGAAACGTTTACTTCTTAACGTCGCTTTAGTATCAGTTCGTCATTTGCTTCCCATTCTGAATGCAACTTACTTTAATGCAATGGCCTTAAAAAGCGACACTTCTACGATAGGATTCCTCCCCCACCGTACCATTGATTTCAGCTATTACTTATAAAAAGGGTTTACATCCGATTGGTGGGTAAGAAGTTCTTCCTAAATTAAGTGCTATTCCATGTTTCTTGTTCAGCTCCGTTCTAAAAGCTATGTTTGTCCGAGAGCTCCTTCTCTTTCTTCTAAGAGATGTCTTTCTCCCGAAAAATTCCAGATTATAGCCCAGTGTGAAGTCGCATGAGTCGCAGAAAATCACCAACTCGTATCAAAACCACGAAAGTGTACGGAAACGGGATTGGAGAAGGCCTCGAACGAAGAAGAACAGAAGCAATAACAGATTGCACTGGATGAAAAGAGCATCTACATTGCAACATTGAATTCTCGCCAGTTACACCCCTTCAACGGAGTTGATTTGAAGTGCACAAATCGGGATTGAACAGCATTAAGATGAAGCTGTAGTATGAATCACATTGTAGTCACCTTTTATTTACTTCCTATCCTTTTCCATGGCAAGGTGTGCTATGAAATGTGGCCACAATGATGCTGAGGTATTTGCAAAACAGCAAGCCGCAGGTGTCTGCGATGGGGAACGGACGCGCTCCGGAGTTTTGCAAGTATCTCAGCACCTTTGTGGTTGTATTAAAATAGTTATACTAGATGTGTATTTCACTTAAAACAATCGGTAACCAACGGCCGTTAGCAGTTGGGTGGCATAACATGCCAAGTACACAATAAGAGGACCAACGATTCGATGATCTTTTTTAGGAAAATCATTGTTCACGAAGATCCTAAAAAAGACTGTGGTGCTTAGCGAGTTTCTACACTGAACAGAACCCACGTGCACCTACTTAACACAAGTTGGAATCACTCCATCACAGCCCTCCACTTCTAGCGTTTTAGCAAGGTTTTCCAGCAAAGCATGGATTTTTTGTTTTGAAATTACCCCATCACAAGAGCTTCAGAGTTCAGCAAAGATGTATCAAAATATCTATGACATTGCAACAAACCATTTTCAGAGCGCTACGAAATCGTTTCTTTTACGAATATCGATTCTACTGGCATTTATTGACGCTATGGTTCTTAGTAGTACTCCTGCTTTTAATATCAGGATATCTGCATTTTCAGTCGTTGTTACGGCGTTTCGTAGAGAAAGAAGCGGTTGTCATCCCATCTCATCTCGATGAGACGAGAAGACAATGTGCAATTTATGTGGCTGAGACAACGGCACAATAAGAACCTCGCAATAAGTTTAGTGTTTTCAAGGAATTCGCATAAATCCTAAAGCACTTTCACAAAGAGATGAAAAGATAGATGTATATAGAGAGAGAGGGAGAGAGAGAGAGCTGTGCTACAATAGGACTCGAACTTTTGTTCAACAAGAACCATGAATGCGCGCATGAATTTGTACAAAACGGAACGTTGACTACTGGCGCTAAGTCACCACCACCACGACGGTTGCAGATATATTCCTTTGGATCAACTTTTTTCATGCTTCACTTCCATTAAAAAGCTGAAACAGTTGTTAAAAAGTAAAACATTCTTAGAATTGAACCATCGCGATCGCAATTCTCAACGTGCTATCCATAAAATAGTTCGCTATCAGCAATCATTCCCACCCTCATCGAAAAAGAGCCAATAGCACACAGCTCGGAAGAGATTTCGAGGGAACCCAAATGAAGTAAGGAAAGCCTAAAATAGATATTTTTGTTGTGTCGCTGTTAACATGGTGAGTCGACAATATGCTAAGCTCTTCTTCCTGGTGTGATTATATAAGCAAAACTTCAGATTACATTAACATGACAACAGTGCACAACGTCAAATGAATGTCTCGCTGAAGGAAATTCTATTTCGCTTTTTCGACTTCGTATTTTCTTAGTTGACTTGGAAAAGTGGGATAAAGAGGTAACTCTTGTTCTAAATTGTGGTTAATAACAGGAAAATAGCATTCCCTCAATGATATAATGACGCGCTTAACACAAAGAAAAGCGCCACCTATAATATAATTATCAGGACCAAATCTCCAGTAGTAATTTTCGTTATTCATTTGGACTCCAACCTGATATCCACGATGTGAACTTCTAAAGGTGCTCTGGTTAAGGTGGAATCCGTTAGTTCGTGTGAAATCAACATTAAATAACCAATCTTATGTCTACGTAGCAACAACACAATAGGCTAATATTTATGAAAGAACGCCAGACTTCACTCTTTACCATCGTCGTTTATGAAATCGGACGTTTGGGGGAAAATGGTTGCTGTTACGTAAATAGGTTTTGGCAAATGAGTCGCATCAGCCCACTATGTGAAAACATGCTCTTTGGACGGCTAACGGTGGTCATTTCTGAGCGCTCCATACCTCCATGAAACGTTTTTCCGGGCTTTTCCGCTAGATTTGGAACTTTTCTTTGCTTCGGTCACGTGAATCGTGTAAATATGTGAAGTGATGTTATTCATTATTGTAGCGGATATGTGTTGCCTTTCAAAGTGAGCATTTTCTAGTTAATTCGCAGGGTTCTCATTTCTGCACTCATTTGTTTCCTAAACAATCGCCTCTAGATCAGCTCCTTTCGTCACCACTTCCAGACCATAATAAAAGGAAAATCTCCTCAGTAATGATAGAATTTTTGTCCTATTCGACTAAACGCAGTATCCATTGTAGTTTGAAAAGAAATGTCTTCCGTTAAACAAGGAGTCTTGGTGAAGTTCTTTCGATTGTTGGAGATGACAGATAGGCAAGCGACTGGCAACAAGGCTCCACTGGCCGCTTAGGACATCGGCTGAAGCAGTCTGCACATGCTTAAAAAAGATGGATCTTTTTCGGGACTTAAGTGATAAACCAAATAGTCATCTAAGCACAATACAAATCATCGAACCTAGGTGATAGTTCTTTAGATTCAGAATTCGTCTCAAAGATCATTCCTGTAAGGCTTAATGTGATAACGATTCGTCACTTGCCAATGACCCAGTTCTGCAGTAGGAGCGATACTATGTTCAGCGGAAGGAGTTCTTCCACCAAGTTTCTCAAAAATGTTAAGAAATCATACGTGCGAAAAGTACTGAACTTATCGGGCACTATTCCATTCTATTCTAGCTAGAATCCAGAATCGTGACTAAAGAGGGCGGGCAACGACATTTTGTATCGGAATGGAACTCCGATGAAATTGTTATGTGGTTTCTACACTTGTTTCTGCTTTTATTAGGTCTTGCTTTTTAGCTAGAATTAGAAAAAATTAATTCACAAATGGCTTAATGGAAGCAGATTTGCTAACTCCGCGACGACTTGATTCTCCAACGATTTCGAATATGGTTGCGGAGGAAAACGTCTAATTTTGCTGTCATACTTCTTACTGGAAAATTTGCGAACATTGTTTGTATGCAGCATACTTTTTATGTACCCCATTTCTGCTGCCTTGAAAACCTTTCATTGGTCGTATTTAAACCTTTTCCTTATCCTTCAGTATTTCACCTTGACCTTTTTGGTTAGTGTACATTCCACCGATTCCAATTTGAATAAAGTCACTAAGTTTTCTTATAGTCAGACGACTACTTTCCCTTGCAGTTTTTCATGCTTAACTCAGCTACTGTTTACCAATGAAGTCTCATTAATTTGCATCTTAGAGTTCCTGTGTGGCACCCTTCGAGGGAAATTTAGTCGGAACATGCCTGGCGATCTGAAATCTTGGAAATCAGCCGGCCGCACGTCGAGCAGGATAATCTGTATAAACTTGAAATCACGCGTAAAGATGGTAGATTCTTGGCTTTTTTGTTTGATGTAATTTTGATTCGATATGAAGTCCGTGTGGGAGTTTTTTAGTAAAACTCAAGTCACACAGATTTCCTGCCCTTTTCCCAATGCGCTCACACTCTCGAGCTTAAGTCAAGCTCTTCACCGAAGCTGGCATCGTCCTATTGAGCTTGAGAGCAATCATACGCACTAATTTTTAATTAACATAGAGCACACACACATTATTTCGCTCATATCGCCTTCTAGAAATTAGCTAGATAAAGGATTCAACAATCACATCAAGGTTCAACGATGTGTTTGTTAACATTTGCAGCGTTTCCATAGATTCCAATGCTCCTACCTTACCAGGAACAGTTTTTCACCAAATTTTTAACCTTTTCGGAGAATACTGTTTAGAGTATTTCGTTTATAAATATAGGAAGTGGAACCATAAGGTAGCAATTCCCAAGACAGACTTTCTCTTAACCTCGGCAGTGATTGATGTTTCACTGTTTTTCTTCGAATATCAACCTCGTCTTTGCTTTTCGAAGAAAAACAGGGAACGATAACGATTCTGAGATAAGAGGAGGACCTCATAGGTAGTAGAATTGATTCTTCATTAACGCATTAGTTCCAAGAAATCCTATCTGTTAGTCAAGCCTCCATTTTACTAATTCTTTCCATTCCTGTGCAATTTATTTTTATCAAGCCTTTTTATTCGTTGGAACAAATCATTCACTTCCATTCTGATGGAAAAGCCGTTTTGATGAAAAAGCAATATAATGGCTTCATAGCCAACAGAGCGCTATTGCTGGCTGAAGTTCATGAGAATCACTTCAGCAAAGCTTTTCTCTTTTACTTCAAAACGAAGAAATTTAATTAGCTGATTTTAGCTGTTTTGTCCTTTAAGTTTTTATTAGACGTGAAATATTGCCAAAATGAAGAAACGCGGGATTACTATAGATCAGCGCCTTATCTGCTTTATGAAGAATATTAAAGGAAATCAAGGGAAAAACCACACCATTAGGCCCTCCGTGTCGCCGTTTTCATTTCGTGAAGTCCGAAAATGTTCACGTATCCAATCAATGTAACCATCCAATCAGCCGACTATTGAGGTTTTTGTCTTAGGTCGAATTTCTTCCATAGAAATACCACTCAGTGTTTTTCCCACATTTCTGCTGATTTATCGCCAGATATCGAAGTTCCGAAATTTCGCAGCAAATTGATAAAAACGAACGATTGCAAGATCCGAGACTATCGTAGCAGTCTATTATAAGCATGAAGAGATGTGGAACAGTTTCCTTTCTTTTTTCTTCATCAAAACAGCATGGTTTTCATAATTAGTCCTTAGCACGGTTGGAACAGTCAAAGATAATTTCTGTCAAAGATATGATGTCAGTTGATAGTGTCAAAGATAATCTTTCTCTTTCTCACACGACACATCCCACTTCCCCATTCAGTTGGTGAATAATTAGTACTTTTGGACTCCAAAGTGGCTAACAACCACGGTCTCCAAATCTTTTATTTCCGTAAAAAAACGCCAAAAATAAACAGGAAATTCAAATTCACATACGGTGCTTCAGAGAAATAAGTTCACCAATGAAACTCTGTCTGCTAAATCTATTGCAAAAGAATCTCCAGCCTTCTGGCGACGTAGCTTCACGAGAAAGCATTTCATAATCAAGAAGCTGTCAAAAATAATTTATCGGGTAGACTTGTATTTTAATGTTAATGTAATCATTGTGGAAACTTTTAACACATTCTCAATTTTTTCTCGTTTACCACTGCTTATTTTTCCTACTATTAAGGTTTAATGTTTAATTTTTTATTTACTGCTTATTCTTTTCTCATCGTAGGATGTTATGCAAAATACAACTATAATCATACTGAGATCTGAGTAAAACGCATGGCCTCAGATTTGCTTCAAGCCCTTGACTCCCCATCTGGAGGGTCACATATTATCCACTGCACCAAAAACGGCTCTGCCTTTCGTTTCATTCAGCCAGTTTTTTAGCTAACGATGGTATCAACAATCACCAGTCAACAGGAATGATCTGGGGAAACGCAATTCGTGATCGAAACCAGCTGAACTGAAGCCACAGTTCGAATCACAATGTTTAACTTTCTATTTTAAAAACCGCCTTTATTGTGCACTGGGAAACCCATGGGTCCTAAAAACGATTATCTGACGACCGAAGCCGACCTACATTCCGAGTTTTGCAAACATCTCAGCATCACCGTATTTATTACGCTTCGATTCCGACATGTCGCGCTTATTATTTCAAGGTTTTCCTTCTCATTTCATACAAAAATACGTAAACCCAAAAGACTTTTTTAAAAATCTTCTCTTTACGTAGAACTCACAATCGCATTTCGGCATAACTTTTCACATCAGATATTTTCTGCAGTAATATTTATCACAGAAAGACTCACACATCCCCCCCACCCCGATATAAACGTCGCACCCAAATTGTCGCAGATTTTAGGGAAAAAGCTTTTACTCCTTTCAAAAAATTTCTTCTTCTTTCCACCATCTTTGTTTCATCTGCAAATTGGCGACAGCAAATTTGCAGCCCTCATTGCTTTTTTCATTCTCTTCGCCGTTACTTCGAGTTAGCAGCACTTTTTTACATTAAATTTCCATTCCAAAGTTTTGTGCGAATTTTTTGGTTGCTCTATAGTCTATTGAGCAAATACGACGTGTTGCTTCATTCTTTATTTACATGGTGTGGTGGTGAACGCGTTACTCCCGCACTGGTTGTAGGAGCCACTGCGACATACACGTGGAACCAATCCCCGCGCCCATGGCCCACCAAGCCTTCTGTCCCTCCGGGGTCGGCAAATTGGTACCACACTTGTCTGAGAGTATTGCACCACTGGCTCGATACATTGGTAGGCCACCACGAGTCGTTGTAAAGGCCAGATATGCGTTCAATCACCTTCAACGGTACTAATGAAGTCGAACGCATAGCGCATCCTTCATGGATTGATCAACGCCGAGAGCTTTTTTATGCTTTTATTATTAAGGCAAAGGCTACAACTTGAAGGAAAAATCCATGGTTTCCAGCGTTTTCAACCCGACAAAGCAGAGATATCGTCAGCAAGTTGGGATTTTCGGTGACGTGGTTGTTGAAGCAAATGAGTGAACAACTAGGTTGGCTGACATAGAGGCCATTGTTTCCTTCTCGTGGATTTTTTTTAGGCAGGGATGAAGAAATTGGTGAGAAATCCCACAAATTAAGAACAACACTTCACTCTTCATTGTTTCATTATGACTGAAATTTATGCCACTGAAACTGCCATTTTGATCTTTCGCTAATAGATGAGTTTGATAGAGAACTTTTTTATAATTTATTTCCAATCTTAGTAACGACTTGTAGGCTTACTTGCGAAGTTTTTTTTCATTTCCACCAAATCCTCCTACTATGAATCTTATTCATTTATTCATTCACTTTTTACTTATTTTATTTTATTTGTTTACCTATTTATTTGTAGATCAGCCAGGTGGATGACACAAACACGATTTTATCAGTCTTCAAGATTAGGTCCTAAATGAAAATTTCCTATTCTTGCGTGTATGCATCCTGTGTCCGTTAAAGAGCATAATTTTGCCACACTTTGGATGATTTGTGTGACCCGAAGGTTTTCAGAGCCTTCCTCGACTTTGTGCGAAAAATCAACATGTGAGGGCCCTTTTGCTGTCATGAAGCACTTTTTTTTATTTTTTTTTTTACAGTTTTGGCTGTGAATACTCTCAGGTGGTTTGTTGCGCTCTCCTGTAGTTGCAGGCAACGAGCTCATTCGTTGAATGCCACTCCGAAGCACCTTTCATGTATCCAGGAAATAATACATGCACTTGGATAGCCCATACTTCATCGGGTTTCTTTTACTACAATTATTCAATTTGTAAGCTAGTGAAGACATAATGAAACCTACTAACACATTTTTAACTTATTATTTACCGCCTACTTTTTTTAATGATAGGGTATATTGCGAAATATAACTTCAATCATGCTGAGATATTTGCAAAACTCCGGATCGCAGGTGTCTGTGGTGGGAACGAACGCGCTGTTGTCCTTTCCGGGGTGCAACGCGTTCACTACCACACCATGCGAGTCCTTCGTTTCTCCTTTCTCTCAGCTAGTTGGGTTTAACTGGGTTCGTTGCCGATTTGGGCTCCCCAGATCAAGCCTGTTGACGGGCGATTGCTGATGGCACTGATCGATAGAACAAGCTGAGAGACAGGCGAAACCAAGGACCCGGATGGTGTCATGGTGAACGCCGTTGCTGAACGCATGATTGAATATCTCAGTATCACTGAAGCCATTGGCATTGGCTCATTAAGTATGTGAGTACATGATGTTGTTAAAAATTCAACTAAAGCTGGAATTTCTTATTGCCACGGATCTCCCTCATATGAAGGATCTCGAGCCCGTTAGTCGCAAGCCTTTCAACGCCGCCAGTGACACCGGAGAAGAACTTTTCCTCGGAACATGCGACAGTAGACGAGTCGGCGGCGTCGGCGTTCTCATCAACACGAGTTTGTTCATAAACATCGATTCATTCGAACAACTTGCAACCCGAATCGGACGTTTACGATTAAAAAGACGTGGATCAATTCCGGCCTTGACAATCTTCGTCGTTTACGCGCCGACATCAAACTATGACGAAGAAGTCGAAGCGTGCTATATATATGGACTTGTAGAAGTTCTGCAGAGAAAACCACACATTCTTCAAGGTCACCATTGGAGATTTCAACGCCAAGACTGGACCAAAAGGAAAGTATGAAGAACGTCACATTGGGACCCACGGATTAGAATGAAACGAACAGCGTGAGCGGCTGTCTGAGTTTATCATGGCGACCAAGACCATACACGATAACTCGCAATTCCAGAAGCCCCCACTCTCAGCCCTGGACGTGGGAGTCTTCCAATAGAGAGTATCATAACGAAATAGACCACATCGTCGTAAATCGAAGGTTTTGCATAACTGATGTAGATATCTTCTGGATACGACGGTGGATGTGAGCAAAAAAATCGTACGAAATAACTGCTGAGATCCGCATTTTGTGATGCGTGTAATGTCAATTCATGGAATCAAGCACCGTTTATGACCAACATCAGCGTACCCTTTAACACCGTTTTCGCCTGCGAATTCCCATAATCTTCAGCTTTTAGGGAATTTTTGGTTTTGACAAAAAATCTCTTGTTTTTCAAAACTATGATAGGATCTGAATATGACAAGATTACAGAACAGACTTTAATCTGTTGTTCTATGGATACTGATGCTAGGCGGGCTACTACGTACTAAATATTACTATTGTCCGTCATGTAAACACAATTCTGTCAGTATTTGAAATAATTATCATTTATTTGTACCGATTAGACTTGAAATGACAGTAAATTTCCTTCCAAATCAAGGTGTAATGAAGTCGCTCGATAATAAGTTTTTATATATTTCTAACTACAGGATACAGCTTTTCCCGGTTGACGTCCAAACCCAGCATTTTTGTTTGACAAACTCTCAACTGCAAAGCAGCAGTGTGAGAAAGGGATAAAAGGAGAAGAGGGAGATGGAAACGCTGAAACAAAACATCAAGTAGAGAATGGCCCGCACAGAAACCACTCAGGGTGCTATTATATATACATATATATGTATATATATGTATTTCACTAAGCTAATAAAGAGGATAAACGATGTAGCTCTCAGCGCTGATCAATCTCAGAGGGACGCGCCATGCATTCGACTTCATTACGCATCGTTTGGAGGTGATTGAACGCATATCTGGCCCTTACAATGACTCGCGGTGGCCTACCGATGTATTGAGCCAGTGCTGCTATCCTTTTAAACAAGTCTAGTACTAATTTTCTGACTCTGAAGGAAAGGAAAGCTTGGTGGACCAGGTGAGCAGGGACCGATCCCATGTATGTGTTGGAGAGCGCCTTCGACCACTGCACTAAACACGACCAATGCGCGTCTGCCCTTTCCTCCGTTATCTTTATTAATCGTAGTGCCCAAGTTGTATGTGTACCTGCAGAAAACATCAACTTTAAAAATGCCCTATCGAAAAGTTTGAAATTGAAGTCATATGTAAATACCATTCCCTGTTCCCAGGATCGACTTTCTCTTAACCTCGGCATTGGAATATGAATGTGTCGTTTTCTTGTTCAACAATCGCGAGGTTCTTAAACAGCATACATTTACTTCCATAGGAAAACACAATACAACACAAGATTAACTGACGTTTTGGCAGTATCGCCTTCTTCAGAGCTTGGAAGGGTATACTGATATACAATTCACTAGGCCAAAGCCTCCAATAACACTTACACAAGGGCGAAAAACTCATCGCTTTTTACGTGACTTCCAATGAGGAAGTTTAGAACAGCTGATTATAGTCGCATATGGTTGATGACTACACTATCCCACATCAGGAACTGATGCGAACATACGGGGTCAAGTCGAGTATAACCTCTGGGCCTTCATCCTTGATATTCATTGTAGGGTTAGTTTTTATCATCATCATTGAGTTTATCGAGTAGCTGTTGATCATGTAATTACCATAGTTTTTCGTCTTCACTCAATCTTTCTCAATCGTCCGAGAAAGTGTTTATAAATCATATCGAGGTTAAAGGATATCGGTGTTTACAATATTACCCATTATTCTCTCATAGCGTTCTATCTGAGAAACATTCACACCTTTACTGTAATATCCATTGCAATAGCTTTATCAGATCAAATTTCTTTGGAGTTACTGAGAAGAATTATAGAAGCTATTCTTTCCATGTTGTGACTCTTTTTCTCTAGCTATAGCTCTCCCTACTAAGGGTGACATACAACGATGGCCTTCTTCAATGAACTTCGTGCTTTTCTTTTCGACACATTTATACATTTCAATGGCCTATATCATTTCGTTTTTCTATTCCTTCGAAAGAGTAAATTAAGTCTGCATTTATATTTTTTATATTTTATTTTTATGTTTTTTAAATATTTCTATATTATATTATTTTTTTATTTTTTTTTATTTTTTATGTTTTATATTTTTTATATAGTTATTGACTGATAGAAAGGTAAAACAAGGGCCTAGTAAACCTTTATTTACTTAACTTTGAACTTTGCACAGCGGATACAACAGAGTAATAAAAAGTTTAGTTAGAATGCTACAGCTGAATTATTCTCACTGATCCGCAGCAATGTCATATGTGATTTTAAGATTTGAGCCTCTTCTCAATAACCGACTCTTTTAGAATTCGGAATTTAAGGGTCTCGGGTTCATCTGAATGTGTGACGAAGCTTTGGAAACTGTCACATCTACACCCGCAAATATTTGCGCTCTAAAATTTGTGCGATCTTCTTAATTAGTTTTTAGCTTAATTGACAATGTCCTTTAGGCGGTTCCAATTCTCTTCAGATAAATCACGTTTTGCATACCACGACTTTTTGTTTAATCAATTTCTGGGTTTATTAATGCGTAAAAAAGTATTGTTTGTATACCTGCATTTCAATGGCACACGTGGCGCAGTGGTCGGAGGCGCCCTGCAACACACACATGGGATCGATCTTTGCGCCCAAGGCTCAGCAAGCCTTCTATTCCTCTGGGGTCGGCAAATTGGTACCGGACTTGTCTGGGAAGATAGCAGCATTGGCCTGATGCATGGGCAGACCACTGCAAGTCATTGTGAAGGCCAAATATGCATTCAATCACCTCCAACGATGCTAAATGAAGTAGGATGCGTGACGCATCCCTCAGAGATTGATCGACGCTGAGAACTTTATCCTTTTATCCTTTATTTATCTGCGTTTCGAGCAGCAACATCGCAATTTTTCATTTGAGTGAATCAGGAACTTAAATTTCCTTCTTCATGTTGCAGGCCAAATCGCAATCGTATTTATCGCTTCTACTCGAATCCATGCCGATTTTTTAGTGCAGTTTTCAGCTCAGTTCTATTAAACAAATAAAATATGAATTCTAGAAATGTATACGAGACGAAAAAGGCCTGCGACGAAATGGAGTGCCGCCTCGCTGACAACCAGTGAGAATCACGAGGTAAGCTTCGATTGCCATTCACAATCTCTCCAACCACAACTGACAGGGTGAAGCCGCCCAGAACAAACTTTTCCTATTCTTACTTTCAGCTGAACTTCTTCAATCCGCCTAGCGAAGCAAATCAGGCCTAGTGTTGTGGGGTAAACACATTTTAAGCTAGATATGTTAACTCTAATTTTATTCTTTTTACAACCGCAAATTTTAATGTTTTCGTCGATAACTACGTGAAGAATTTTTCTTAAGATGTCGGATTCATATGGCAATGGCTCCGTTTCAAGTCCTTTTCTCCATATTTATGGAAAACTGTCTTTTGTCTTATGACTATGCAGACATACCATAACTTGAGACCGAGTTATTTGCAACGTTTCAGTTCTGTCTCTACCGGAGTCAATCTTTTCTATTGCTGCCCTAATTATTCTCTGCTCTAAAATGCTCTAATTTCTCAGTGTGTTTTTCACTGTTTTTCTCTAATATTCTTCGTAAAAAAAAATATAATAAGGTGAAATTTCGCAGTACTCCAAGGAAAGGCCTTTAATTCGACACCAGCACCCGACGGCAGCGATTCATTCGAGTCGTTCGGAGTGGCTGCCTCCAACGAGTGGACCAGTCAGCGCGCCTCGACGAACGTCGACAATCGCTCCTTTGTCCAACTTCATTCACCAAAAACCAATCCCTCTTCTACAAACTCTGTCAGCGGACTTCTCACTGAAACAATACAACGTGAGCTTCTCGTAAACAACGGCTTTCTTTCTTCCGAAGTGTGAACTTTGGAGAGGAGCTCAGTGATCTGCATATTTTTTAATCACTTCTAATCCACTTCACCTTATAATATTTATAGAAAAACGCTCCCAGTTGTTTTTTATTTTTATTTCATTTCATACATCGCGTTTTCACATCTGCTTTATGTGTCCCAGCGCTTCTTCTATTGGACTCGTATTCTCGCAACCACTTATCAACGATATTCCTAGAAATTTTCCAGCGTGGGTGTGACAGCTGCTTAGGCGTTGTCGGTTTCTTTATGAATGTCCTTGAATGCTGGTCGAGTCGATTGTACATGGAATTTTAGGATAACCAGACTAGAGTGTTCTCACTTAGTTTTGAGGAACTGTTCCCAGACAAGTCCGGTACCATTTCCCAACATCAGCGGACGAGGTGATTGTTGAGCACTGTGCGTGGTCGAACCAGAAGCATGTTCGTTATGTCCGACATTACGACCACTCACTGCTCTACCTGCACCTTCCTTATTTCTTAAGATTAACAGAAGCCTTTGCAAAAACTTGAACCATCTTGCTTCGATTTACCTCCGTGATTTTTAAACCACGCTCATCTTGCAATTAGTGTAACTTTTTTGCCCTTATATAAAAGAAAATAAAAAAACGAAGATTTTATCTTCATGAAATATAAATCTCTCCGTAGAACGTATTCGTCATGATGTTAACTAACCTTTGCACTATAAGTTAGATTATGTCGTGGTAAATCGAAAGGCAGTCCGTCGAATAATTATGTTTATTAATAAAAGATGAGTTCTTCATAATGTTTGTCTTTCAGAAAAACATGGAATAGTAGTGTACGCCTTCTTAACTCGCAGTCGCATAAAGAAAACCATTATCGGGAAATGACTTACCCATAAAAGAGCTAGTCTTTAAGGAGTTAGGGGCGGGGCAAATCGGCACTGTGAAGATTTTCTTTAAGAGGCTACTGTACACGTTGTTCAAAATCCGTCCTGCCCGTAAAATAGAAATCCTTGGAAGGGTTTTTAAGCCTAAGCGTGATTCGACTTGATATTTTCGTCGTTTGACTGCTCACAGATGTTTTTGGAAATTTTGTTTTAGCTTTTAATCCTGAGAATTTAAATCCAAGGATTACACTTTCATTTCGACTGTTTTGCCTTAGCATATTGAAGCTGAGAACGAGATGTTTGATTGCACAGCCGCGGAGGGCATTGTATCGAGAGATCTTGCTTAATTACGCATTTCTTCAATTTTAAAATTCACACAATTGTCTTCTTAGCATTTTTTCCAGATGTTCTTTTCGAAAGACATCAACACGAGTGCTCATCAGTAGATAATCTATGCCATTTTCCACTCATTTTGTCACTAATTGATGCAAATTGACTAAAAGTACAGTGCTACTCCAAATGCACTCTGCATTGAAAAGGTTAAAGCTCTCGGCGTTAATCAATCTCTGAGGGATGCGCGATGCACTCGTCTTTAACAAGCATCTCTGGACGTGACTGAATGCATATCTGGCCGTTACAATGAATTGCGGTATCCTACCGTTGTATCGAGCCAGTGCTGTTACCCTTCCAGACAAGTCTGGTGCCAATTTGCCGACCACGGAGAGATGGAAGGCTTGGTGAGCCAGGGGCGCGGGGATCGATTCCTTGTGTGTGTCGCAGTGACGCCTCCAACCACTGCGTCACACATGCCCTTCACACTCAGCAGTAGCCAGCTAAATACATTGTAACATCTACCTTGGAAAGCAAATGAGAAGCCAACTATACACTTTTTATGAATTCAATAAACTGAAAAATTATTTGAAAAAGATCGATAGAACTAGCTGGGAGACAGGCGAAACAAAGGACCCACATGGTGTGGTGGTGAACGCGCTACTTCCCGGAAAGAACAATAGCGCGTTCGTTCCCCACCGCATACACCTGCGGTCCGGAGTTTTGCAAATATCACAGCATCATTGAAGTGAAAAATTATTGTTTATAGAGTTTAACATTATTTTTCTTTTTCGATTTTTTTCTGCAAAATCTTTATTTTGTATAGCTAAACAACCATCGTGTCCATAGTGTTGTCAAAAAAAATGATAAAAAAGGTGGATGCCCGGGAGAAACAGCATCAAATTATAAGATGATTTTTTCTTATAGCTGGCTGTTTTCTTGATTAGCACACACGAAGCTGCTATTATACAATATTTATTCGCTACGGCAAACGTTTCGGTAGATTTTGCCTCCTTCAGAGATTGGAAAGGCCAAGCCGACTGCAAGCTACTCGGCGGAATATCCTCATAACCCCAAGAAAAAAAACCCACGACACCCAACCTTCAATCGCGTTAGCAATAAAACTGCTTCTTCATACGTTCATCGCACTCTTCTACCAAGTATCCCACGTGAAGACCAACCACGCAGAATTTCTATGAATGGGTAATGAGCCATCCTTATGTTGAAATAATTATCGGAGAGATTGTACAATACTTCGCTCGATAACCAGGCATTTCTTCCTGAAGTTCCATTTGCGTTTCTGGAATATTCGGAATACTTCGAGGATTTTACGGGTTGAACTTCTTGCTTCCTGTGCGTGCGAGGGTGGTCACTTCTACCCTGTGTCCTATGCGCACTTAGTGATCTATTTGGTTTAAGTTTACCAATTAGATATTCCTTTATAAACACACAGAGTGGTTTACCCGTTTCGGTGGTGTATTCTTTCCTTCATGTTTTACAAGAGATCAGATAAACCGCGCCTCAATTCATGCAATCACTGTCACTGCAGTTGGGGCAAATTCTGAAACTTGCGTTGTGCATAGACGGTCGTACAAACGGTTGCGAACTATCTGCAATCTTAGAGTGTCCTGTTGTATTTGAGTCACTGCTACCGAATTCTCTAGATCGGCCATTCTTAAGCGACGTTTTATAGTATTTTGTTGGAAATAAAGTGCGGGATAAACGCGACTTTATTCTCGCCATAACTATTGCTCATAGGTGTAGTTTTTTCTTTACAGCAACCCTGACGAGCTACAAATTCATAGGAACTAGAAATGGATAGTTGCTGCACCAATTTCAGTGATTCTTTCTTCTGCTGTCCTCCTGTGCGCAGAATAGTGGCTCGTCGAAGCATTTTCCTCACAAACGCCTTTTTGGTGTGTGAGGTGGGGAGAGGACTCGTGGTGAACCACCTCACTATGTTACTTGGTTTTCGACACGATTTGATGACGTGGCTGTTTTCACTAGGCTAAATTGAACATTCAGAAATTAAAGCCAGTTTTCTTTCGGTTTCTCCCAGCTAAACTTAATGTATTCTGACCGTTCATTCAGTAAGTCAGATTAATTGTCCATCTCCTTCTGTGTGGAGGTGCAGATGACAAAACAATCATCTATGTATCCGTTGTAGAGTAATGGCCGACCACCGATCGGTGCTTCCAGTTTGGACACAAATGTATGACAAGGCATGGTGCCAGTCGCTGCCCCTTTGCCATCCCTCTAATTTGTGCGCAATATTTTCCTGACTATCTGAAGATACAGCAGTTTAGCCACTCCTTTATGAACCCCTGAGTACTGAATCGAAAAGCCGTATATGTTTATTACTTTTTCGTTTTGCACATGAAGCTCGTAGATTTACTGCATAGCGGAGTCATACATCACTTTTGTATAAAGGGTGGTAACGTCGAAGACTCCAAAATAAACCCGTTGTTAGGACGCGCGTCACACAGACGATTCAGGAACAATGGAGTATTTCTGGCATGGGCTGAAATGTGTTTACGTAACTGGATGAGTATTAAGTTTGCGAACCAAGCCATTCCATCCGTGGGCCTGTCTAGACAGCTGATGATGTCTATGCTTGAACGTTCAGGAGTCAGTAGACGCAATGTTATCAGTAGATAATTCCTTATGAGTTTTGATAAGTAAGTGCAAGAGGATACATGTTTTTAGTTCAAGTTCAAACTGAGAAGGAAGTGACAAATTTTAAAATGCTGCTTTTGTCACTTTAACCCATTTTTTGTTCAATTTTCGGTGTTGACCTCTTAATTCGTCCTTAGATGATGGGCGACGAAGGGAAAAATCGTCAAGATGGTTTCTCGTTATCTTAACATCTAACTGGCATGTAATTACTACAAACGCCCACAGTTATCACTAACGTGTAATCTACTTGTCGACCCTATCGTGTGCCACATTTTTGTGTTTCCGTGAGGTTGGAGAGAAACTTCTTTATGCCATAATGATGAGGGTTTTTGAAGGTTTCGTTCGCAAATATTCGAAATTTGCTGTCGACATCATTATTAGGATCTTGTTGTCAAAAGGATGATTGAGGAAACGTCGGTAGTGGAAATGTCCCAACTTCCTGTTTTTCACTCCCATTTATTGCTTCAACCCTAGCTTTATTACGGAGTATGTTATGAAAATTACAGCGACCCTATGCAAGAATACCTTAGAAATAGGGTTCAGATGGTGGAATACTTTGGCCCGATTCTAACAGCGAGTGTAGTTCGTCAAGGAGAGCCATGCCTTCTAACACGGTAAGTCTTCAATTCTCTGTCACACTATTTCCCCTACTGTGACTGTTTGATCTTCGTTAACGGTGTTTCTATATCCTTTTGAAGCCATATTATGCGATTTATTCAAAAGTTCTCCGACTTTTCTTTGTAAAGTAACCTAACCATTTGACCTAGTAGAGTTGCAAATCAACACTGACCTTCCCGCTATTCTCCTCCAAAAACGGTCTTCCAAGATTCCATTATTTCCTCTGTCCTTAGTTTTTTTCTATAATTTTCCACAAAAGGTCTTCGTATTTCATACTTCTTTTCGAGATTTCGCTTTATACACGGTTTTTTATCTACATAGATTAATATAAAAAGAGAAACGAAACAATAAAACGTGTAGTTGACCTTCTACTAGTTCAGCAGCATCGCATCTGTCAATATTATACTTATTTCAATGGTGATTTGGGTTAAGTTGGGCTACGTTATAAAAACTATTCTGCCTTATTTCCCAATCGTCATTTGCTTGTTAAATCCTGGCTGAGCATACTTTAGAAGGAATTCAGAGGTAAACATACCAGGAAGTTCTCAGATCCCCACTATAGGCAGCAGGTAGTGGAAGTCACTTATAGGTAAGGGAAGGTTGCTTCTACGACTAGCATTCCTCCAGGACATCACTGATTCTTGCCATCACTCAAATAATGGCAGACTCCTTAACGAGTGAAGTGCTACTAATATCTCTAAAGTTTTGTTTTGTTTTATAAATGAGCCAAATTTGCGCAAAACCCCAACTTTGTTTTTTAGTGGGTTACTTCAAAAAATCGCTAGTGAACGATCCTAGCCAAACATTCAAGTACCTTTACTGTTTAGTACGTTACGTGAATTGAACTAAGCGTATTCTTAAGCTTAACACTTTTATTTACTGCCTTTTTCTTCTTAATGGCAGGGTATGTTGCGAAATATAACTCGTATGAAATGCTGAGATATTTGCAAAACTCCGTACCACAGGTGTATACAGTGGAGAATGAACACGCGCTGTTGTCCTTACCGGGGAGCAGCGCACTTCACCACCACACCATCCGAGTCAACCCGTGCTCCCCGGGAAGGACAACAGTGCGTGTTCGTTCCTCACTGCATACACCTGTGGTCCGGAGTTTTGTAAATATCTCAGCATTTCATACGTATTCTTAAGGTTCTTTTTACCTTTTTACATCAATGAGTGACTAGCATATAAAGTGAATTCATGAACTGAATGTCGCGTTTGAACTGTATTAAATAATAAACTGGCTTTTTTCGATTTTGAATACAATGATATGCTCTCATAAAAATTTCGCTGAACCACCATAGATTGTTCTCAATCGACCTGTCTATGCCCTTTATGCAACGAGACTCCCACGACCAGCTCGACTCGATCACAACAGCCAATGCTTGTGATATATTTCCAGTTTTCTTCATTTCAATATCTTTAGGCTACTACGCATTCGGTTATTTCATTTCCCACTTACGATTGTAGCAATTATTTCAGAATTTCCCATTTAAGAAAGCTTCACTATATTTGTAAACCAAGTCAATTAAAATGGAGAAAAAGCATAAGGCAATAAAAAACCACATGGCTGAAGAGCATTCATGTTCTGCCGTTCTCGAGAGATCTTCTAAACACTCCATATTCCTCTTTCTATTAGTGTGCCTCCTCAATAACTCATTTTATTTCGAATGCCACAATTAAGAGAAAGAACTGATTTTTTTAACAGGCGCTCCGTCATTCATTTCCTTAATTTCTAGGACTATTTTTCATTGTAGTAATTCCCAAGACCGACTTTCTGTTAACCTCGGCGTTAATTGATAATTCAATGTTTTTCATCAATAAGCAGACACGAGGTTGTTAATATAGAATTTATTAGAACACAATTGCTGACCTTTGAATCCCTGAGGAATCCCTTTGGAAGAGAATAGTGGGCTCTGAAGAAGGCGAAACCGCCGAAACGTCAGCAATTGTGTTCTAATAAATNCTAATAAATTCTATATTAACAACCTCGTGTCTGCTTATTGTTGAAAAACATTGAATTATTTTTCATTGGTTATTTTCTACGTTTTGTTACTTCTGTTCTATCAACGCCTTCTTCTGTGATGAAACAAAGACTGGGACGAGAATTGTCTCGTTTATGATAATAACCCTGTCTACAAAGCCATTACTCCATTCATTTTATGACTATATTGGTATATTCATATCACTTCCAATAGTATTTTTTGGCTTCTCCTCCAGTTAGGTCTGCGTGGGGTCCACAGAAGAGCTGTCCAGCTTGCATAACGATGGTTGTAGTTGTTGTATCTTATGGTCTAGACTCATTTCTAAGCATTCGGGTGCACTTTTCCAAATTGTCGAATGTGAGTACGAAAGAGAAGCAGTGTTTATAGAAAATTTCTGTTACCCTTAAAACATATTGGACGTTATCCAACCGCGTGAAGCCTGTTCATAGTCTCGCTTTTGATTGCTCTAGAGTTGCTTAATCCCAAACTGTTTCTGCAGTTGCGAGTGATTTTTTGTCGCTTTCAAGGCGCACTGAATAAGTGGATCCGACGCTGGTTTTAAAGATCAATCTCCACTGTTACGTTTCCGAACACTATACGAAATTCTGTATTGATAATTAACCTATCCAGTAAGAATTATGTTATGTCTGTTACCGATAACTTAAAACAATGCATTAACTAGGTGTAATTGATATTTTGTAAGTATTTCTTGTAAGTGCAAAAGCCAATGATCGTTTGGAACTGATACACTTTTGATGCTTCTTTTACATTCAAGGCCACAGACATATCCGACCTTAAGACTCACCATGATGTGCGAATGTGTCTATATCTTAGTGAAAAAAATGGTCTGATTGAATATTGAATATTGAGGGGTTCATGCTACAACTAATCTGTGGAAAGAAAAAAAAGTGGGATGAGGAGAAAATCCAGAGTTCCCATCAATGTCGAGCATCGAAACCCAGCCGTACATGTGCTAAGGTTTGAAAAATCATATCGGTCGGACCTAAAGTGTGTCTTTATAAGAATAAGTGAACCTGAAAGTTGAGTGACAGAATTCCATAGGATGAAAAGATCGTAACAGGATGATCACCTACTCGATGTTGAGAGATCTTTAGATCGGAGGCGACGTTACTACTCTGCGATTATCTACGGATACCAAAACTTGCTAGAATACTTGTGTATGGGGCAGGGACGAAAAAGTTTCACTACAACTCAAATCACTCAATGATCAACAGGTGAAAGAATTATATACATGGTAGATGTGCCTATCATGCTGTGGTTCCAAGGAGGCATCTACCAGAATGAACCCTTCTCATCATTGTAAGAAAAAAAATACGACAAGCAATGCGATGTTGGAAATATGGCTAACGCTATTTGATTCATTCGCCATGGCATGAGTCATATAATACTTGTACCTGGATAGAAATAGTTTGCGCTTTCAATTTTAAGCTCATATATGATTCACCTCACTGTGTGCTTTATTCATCTAAGTAAGAATCCTAAGAGCTCACAGATATTTCCCAGAAGGCATAAGTTTACTTATTGCTTCTTATTTATGACCATAAAAGAAATCGACTTAAAACATTGATGGATCACCGTATATCACTGCATACACCAATTACGCATTCAATCATTTTTGTGGTGAGGTCAAGTGCATGCCGCATCACTGTGGAACTGATCAAAGCCGAACGTGTGTGTGGTATTGGCCCCCCATTTCCTGATCAAATGTGTCAATTCAATCATTACGCATTCAATCAAGTTGAATCAGCAAAAATGGTGTTAAATGAAACAGTGGTGTTTGTTCCATTATTATGTTTGGTTAAAATTGGATTTTAATCACCAAGGCTACCATAATGGAATGTACTCCAGTAGATGCACGAGTTTTCTGCAATTGCTTGAGCCATTAGATGCGTTCTGCTCTCCTGAGTGCTTGTCAGACCCACCTGTTGAAGCAGCTGCTAATTCGATGGCAAGTCCATGATAGGATGCTGAGCACAAGCTTATCAGTGACGGGCTTGAGCCGGCTAACAGCGAAACGCAAGCACTCTAGCGATGTCCAACGTTTATCTGTTTGTCTTCTTTTTTTAGTTAAGTACGATTTTTTAAAAATAGCCTATATATCGTATCTCTACCGTCCAACTCATGAAAATCCATAGCTATGCCCCATTTTTACTACTTTTTTTGATGACAGACCTATCTTCTTTCTGTTCTTTAGTCTACTGCTGGCATCAAGTCCTAGGTAGATGACCAACCTAGAAAAGATGAAAAGCAAGAAGGAAGACCGATGTTCAAAATAACTGATGGAGCCATTATCACTCACAAAAACTTCTGCGCTTACAAAATGTTGGTGACTTAAGCGTTGTTGATTCACTAGGTCATTCCTCGCCCTCAATCTTCTTGTCAAGACAATCTCAGTATCATTAATTTTTACCCATAAACCTGTATATTTAATGAGAGTGAATTAGCTGATCTTCTAAGATTCTTGGAAGAAGGTAATTCCTAATGAAGTGTACTCCTACAATCTAGTTGTCGAAGGCAATGAGCCAGAGAAAATGGTGTGCACAGGGTCAGGAATTTTGGGAAAAAAGACTTAAGTATACTTGCGTTGGAAACAGCTTCCTCAAACGGTTTTATGTCTGCCAATTGACAACGTAGAAATTAAATCCTTTTAAAGGAGTTTTTTGGATAGATTCTGTAGAGTCTTAACACGAGCAAAAAAAACCGTGCTTATTAATTTGTGTAGATCTTTGCTGCCCAGCCCAATATAATATGAACTCCGGTTGTCATTTCTGTCAAATTACCACTATGCCAAGGTTGCTTTCACAACGGATAACTATGACAGAGCTGATTGGATAGTAAGCTTAGTGTAAATTAGGTCTAAGTCGAATTCTTCGCCACATGTTCACTCCATCACGAGCTTTATGACACATTGCAATTGTTTCTTGTGAGTGTTCCACATTATATTCATGCCCATAGTCCTTTTTTGATTGCCAACTACGCAAGGAAGGGCGCGTGTGGAGCAGTGGTTGTAGGCGACACACATGTGGGATCGATCCCCGGGCCCATAGCCCACCAAGCCCTCCATCCCTCCGGGGTCGGCAAATTGGTACCATGCTTGTCTGGTAGGATAGCAGCGCTGGCTCGATACATCGGTAGGCCATCGAGAGTCATTGTTAATGCCAGATATGCACTCAATCACCTCCAACTCAATGAAGTCGAATGCATGGCGCATCCCTCAGAGATTGGTCGACGGAGAGAGCTTTCTCATTTAATCCTTTGACTACACAAGTAAGTAGCATGTTCAGTGGAGAAGTTGATAACCTTGAGCAATAAGTGCTCACCTGTTTCTACAATTTAACCTACATAGTCTGTTAACACGAAAGACCGTGCGTGCTTTGTTTGCGATGCATGCACATGTGTGGGAGATGCCAAAGTGGACTAGGTGAATTGAACCCAATGCATTTCCTTTTCAGGATATTTTTTCAGTACAGGACTTTTTCGCATTACTTTTTTATTTGGCCGATATTGAATTATAAGTCGTTTTTTGTAGTTTCAGAAAACAATGTATAATGTAATGTAGTTTTCATTTAATGCGTATGTTTCGTCCAAAAGCCACAATGGTAGATTCCATTGCTCAAAACGAAAAACAATGCTAATTATAACCTATAGAAGGTTTGTTTGAAAATTGTGGAAAAAGCCTCTGAATTTCCGGACTTTTTTAATTTTACGGGAGCAGTCAAATGACTTTATGTTCCACTTGTTGAGAAAAAAGGAATCCATCAAGTGATTAGACCCATCGACACTGTTAAAACCGATGTTATTTTACCACAGACTCGAAGAGCAAATTTAAAAATAAACACCTTATAGGTGATCTGGACGCAAAATTGCTCAGTATACCTATCTTTCGCCATGCCTTTTTTAAACTCTGGTCGAGTAATCCGTTTTACCACCCGTATAACTGTTGAAACTATAGCTATTAGAGTACGCGCCCGTAAACCTTTTATTTCCTCCTTTCGAGTGCGAGAGCATCGTAGTGGATTCCGTCTGCACAAGGAACTCGTTGAGCATCATATCTTCCTTCTAGAGTCTTCGTGTTGGTACTCCTGCTGTGTGTTTAACATCCCGAGGAATCCATTCGCTCGCGGCTCCTGTCCATCAGTTGTCGCTCAAACGCATTCCGGGTCCGGACTACCTTATCTTCGACAGTTTGGCACATAGAACGGTGATCTCAATTTTTGTTCGCTGACGCAAATCGAAGCTTTGGATTCCTTTCGTCACGTGTGACAAAAGATATTTCTAGCATCATCCTTTCGACTACGCGTTCAATCTTGGGTCTGGGTGAACTTTCATGTCAAGAAGGTAAGCACGGAGTCGGATGTTCGTTATTCTCTTCACTACACCGTCATTGCTCTTAAAAACTCTAAGCCGCTTCCTTTGTACTGCTCAACTCGAGCTATGTCGTTCATCGCGTTGATTTTCCGACCTAAATAGACATAACTAGAGCATTTGGAGATATTCAGCACGTTAAGCGTGAATGGATCATAAGAAACCGTTCTGCTCTCCATGAACATAGTTTTGTGAGATTTAGTCAAAGACCGGTCTTTCTACGTTGTCGAAGTTGGCTAGCATTCGTTCCGTTTGGAAAATGCGTGGTGCTATACGAACGATGTCATCAGCAAAGGTGGGATAATTGCCGACCAGCGCTTTTCATTCCCATGTTGTCCCATTCCAATGTTCGCATGATGTTTTGGGGTGTGAGAGGAAATGGTATTGTCAAGATGGTAGCGTCTTGTCGAGCTCCTTTCTTTTCGTCAATGCTAATATCACCTGTGATGTTATCGTTATAGAATGGTGACATTTTGTTGCAACATTTCTATGCAACTCACGAAAAAGCTTTGTATACTGGTTAGAGACGTTGTGGCTACCCAGGGATTCCATGACTGCTTCAGTCTCAACTGAGTCGAAAGCTTTCTATAAATCGATGAAAATGAAACAACGTGATCTCTTGTACTTTTAAAATACTTAAGTCTTATTTTCGTGTGGATGTCTTTCATCGTACTACTTTCTTCTCGAAACCCTGCTTGCTCACATGGCTACTCTTTCTCCGGTGTTCTATCAGTATAGTTTAGGATGACTCGAGTGGAAAGTTTGTGGACGACAGACGGCAAGCAGATTGGGCGACAGTTGCCGATACCGTGGAGTCCCTTACTAAACAATAGACGGTCTCTGTGGCCTTTTATTGAGCAGGAACCTTGCATTCAGACAGGTAACATGTGAAAAGCCGAGCTAGTGTGTTGACGAGAACTAGTGTAAGGTTCCTCAAATGTTCAGATTTATCCTGTCAGGACTTGGTGTTGCTTGATTTATTTATTTATTTATATGATCTTATAAACTGATCTTCTTTAGCTGGTGTGAGGCTGGTATAGGTCTTCGCTGTCGTTGTCGTTGTTGTTGGCGTTGTTGGTAGATGGCTTATGTTTCGGCGATTTCGCCTTTCTCAGAGCCGTGATGTTACGAGTGGGATGTCCCAAGTGAATATCTATGCGTCAATTATCTATGCGGAGGTTTATAGAAAGTTGGTCTTTTGAGTTGTTGCTTGATTCTTTGCCAACGAAATAGCATTTCAAATTTGGAAAGACCGGTAGTACGACATATCCATCCTCATTTATTTCAAATTAGGGCAAGAGAACGTGATTACCGAAGAGATCCAAGTAATAATCGTGAACGATTTATTTTCCCCATTGCCTTTCCGGTAGCTGTAACTGTTCCGCCCGAACATCGGAACGCAATACTCCTGGTCCTGTAAATAGCGAAGTTTCGATGGACTTTGCGAATGCCTTTCCCAGTCTTTGCAATTTAGACCATAACTACTGCTCTTCTCTCCTTAAGCCCTTCTTTAACTTCCTGTCTTCATTGTTTCGCAAGTTCGAACGTGAATTGGCGGTTGCTTGTAGGCCGTGCCATTCCACTTCGAGGTA